TGTTGAACCCCCATTCACTGGTGTTTGCTTTGTAGGATATAGTATATTCTTAATGTTATATCTGAAAAAAGTGATTAAATGGGAAAATTGAATTTCCTTTTGTTAAATCCCTCTTGTCTGTCCAGTCTTCGTTGTCTGTCTCCTTGTCTTTGATTCTATATTATTGCAACCATTAGATCCCTTCTGCGTCTCCCTGTTGCTATAGGCTCTGAAAGTTGTGGCTTACAATGTTTTTGCATTTGCAGTGTTTTTATTTTTTCCAAATGAACATCAGTTGAATGCTGCATTTTTATTTATATATTTGTTTTTTGGTGGAGATGTCCCTTTATCTGCATCTATGGAGAAAATTTAAAAATGCTGTATTTTCCTTCATGTTATTTTTGTCCTGTGCTTTTATATCTTGTGTTACATGAGAAACCATTAAAACGAGTGTGCCCTGTGCTTTCTTCTTGCTGAAGGTGGGCCCTGGCGAAGTAGATGATGAGTTAGAAGATGAAGTTGGATCAGAATGTGCGAAGTTTGGAACAGTGACCCGGTCCTCATATTTGAGATAACAGAGCCAAATTTTCCAACAGACGAGGCAGTTAGAATATTTGTGCAGTTTGAGAGGGCAGAAAGAAAACAACCAAAGCACTTATTGACCTAGAAGGTCGATATTTTGGAGGTAGGATATTAAGGCATCGTTCTATGATGAGGAGAAATTCAACAAGAACGAGCTGGCTCCAATGCCTGGTGAAATTCCCGGCTTCTAGTAACCGGAATAATTGGGATATTGATGTAAAATTCATGTTTTGAGAACCCTCTGGGGTATTAAGATAGCCATGTATCCGAACTTCTATCTAGTGGGTACTATGAAGAGTTGTATCCAAACTTGAAGGTCCGTCACTTGCTGAAGATTTCTTGTTTCGCCTCTCTTTGTTGATTGGGTTAGTGTGATGAGACCAGAAAAAAATGGAAAAACAGGAGAAAATCTAAAGTGGCATTTAAAAAAAAAAAAAGGGAAAGACAGACAAAACATGCCGGGAAAGCAGCAGGCTAGGGCTGTGATCAAACTGGGGCATCTACTAATGAGGTTGGTTACATAATCGTAAAGTTAGCCAACAGAATCAGAAAGGGATCTCAATATTAACATTTTTTTCATGGATGTAAAATGCCGTCTTCTAGACTTTTGTAGAATTGCAGTTTGTGAATCGCGATAAATTTATGAAATATATCCAGAACTTCTTGAAATTTTAATTTGATCCGCAATAGTTTTTCTTATTTATCTTCTTGGAATTTTCATTTTGACCATAAACATTTGCCACATGCCCAAAGTCTTCTATAGCTTAAAAGCCATTTGATCTCCCATTCTTTTTTTACTAGTGATCTAAATCCATAACTTCCAGAAACAAACTATTTTCATTATTTAAGAACTATGGTCAAAGCTCATGCATATGTACATCTGTCCATAATACGTATTTCTCTGCATCAGCACCCAAAACTTCTTTAATTTCAATTAGATCATGAAAGCATCATTATTTATGAATTAGTCCAGGATAGCTAGAAATTCATTTTTAAACCAGCAACATTTCTCTATATACGTTATATGCCCCACTTACCAGAAATTTAGTTTTAACCCGAAACATTTTCTTATACATAAGCATTTTCCCAGAACTCGGAATTTGCAATTTATGTGTAACGTTTTTCCATAATTTGCATCACGTCCAAATTCCACAGGAATTTGGACGCCAACAATACTTCTGAAAATTTTAAGCATTTCCCTAGAACTTCTCAAAAATAGTGTATTCATTTGAGCATTATGCCCCCAAACTTAACGTCCCAACAATCATCTTTGTAAAGATGCACTTAATGCTGAATTCAGAAGCAGCACTGCACAGCAAACGGAGGCCCCTTCATGATCAGAAAGGCGGATAGTTGAAGATGAGAAGATGCGAACCATAAATGCAGAAACTCCCCTATACTGCACGGTTATCGATCTACAAGGACTCATCTTTGTTGGAGAGCTGTGCTGGAACTCCTCACAAACCTCCAGTGGGGGCATCGGTACACTTGAGAAGAAAAAATACCGAAAGAAAAAATTTCAAATAAACCACTGCAAACTCATTTCAAAAGTTGCTGTCATAATACTCATTGAATCGATCAACAGAACGAGACAAGCATCAAGTATATAATTTTTAGAATCTGAAATAGCCATTCCTCAAAGACCTCTGAGCTGCCTGTTTACATAAGCCACCATAACAAGAAAAGGACTCCAAAAGACAGACACCATAGCAACATGATCACATTACCGTATCCAAATTCATATGCTTACGCAACAGCCTGTTGACACAGCATCTAAACAAACCAAGAATCAATGGATGCAACATCCAGACCTCTTCCTCTGGTACCTTAACATAAGATGTCCAATAAAACATAGCTATCTTGTTAATAAACTTAATTCATATAACAAATAAATATACATGATCTTCACTACAAATCATGCTGCTCATATTAGCAGAATGACATATGAGAGCAGGGCACACATAAATTTATAAAATCAGATTCATTGTGTTATGCACTATACCTGCTAGGTTCATCTACATGTTTTTCTAGAATAAAATTCATGCCTTGGATCAGCCTTGCTTGCTCAAGAAAGCAACAATTTTTCTTTATCTCATTAATTTATTATTTAGAGAGCTAGCCAAACAGATATTAATCCTTTTTTTTTCCCCCTGAACTTTAACAGCTCATACGCAGGAATCTAGAACACTACTATTTCTTATGGTTTGAGCAAAACATTCAAGACTTTGAAGGGCAATATAAACTGGCATCAAATACACGAGAACAGAATATAGAAAGGCAAAAGTGGAAAAAACAGAACAATAGTTAAATATTAGCTGTTGATTTGGTGGATGGAAAACTCATTCCTGAGGTCTTGAAGCTGCACCCAATAGGTTTATAACAAAGCACCCAGCTGCTAAACTGCAAGGCATCTAATTATACATGAAAACTTCTTACCTATAAACTTAAAACACATATAACTAAATTATATATGCAGATTTTAGATGCGCTAGGAGGGAGCCAGAAGCTAACTATAGAAGCCAGGGAGACAGGGACAAAAGAAGCCGTTATTGCCTTCAATGGCTGACAGAAGCTCCCCCCATAGGAGATGGATTAGCAATCAATTAAAGCCCCTCATTTATGGATCAACGGTCAATTTGTTCACAAATACAAAAGCAATTGTCACAAATCAGAGTTACATAATGAAATTAAATTAATAACTAGTAGCAAAATATGTGAAAAGATTGTATGTATGTGTGTGTGTGTGTGTGTGTGTGTGTGTGTGTGTGCACGCGTGCGTGTGCATTTGCATGTGCGTGTGTGAGTGAGTGTCTGCCATGCACAGGGCTGTGGAAATGAAAAATAAGTCACAAGCTGAAAACAAAGAATGAAAGATAAAATATTAAACTACCAGTTGTATCAACTTTAAAGAGTAACAAGTAAGACATGCATATTATGCAGTATAACTTAGAACAACCTTCCTAGATAGAACGGAAAAGAAGCAAGAAGAAAACTATGATAACCATTTTGCTACACAAAATCAAAACACAAGTCATGATTCAGATTAAAGCAACTAATCACTTTGATTATAAAAAAAAACAGTCTTTCTATCAAATCAAAGAAGCCAATCTCAGTAATTTAAAATGACTTTGTACGAGAACACCGAAAGTTTGACACAACAATCCTATAATTGTTCAAACTTTGGAATCAGAATGCATAGTTAGAAAGTACATTAGTAAAAATAAAGACAAAAAAATTGTTTCATATACATTCATGTCCAAATGCATAATTGATAAGATCACAACTTGTTAAACAATAAATATTATATTATAAGTAATAACTTGTCATTTCTATGTGACACCAACAAACAAAAGGCTCCAAGATGAGATTTGGAAGATAAATTGTTTCATCACTGCATCTCTCACATCCCATGTGGAAAACAGAACGCTGCTAACTTATAGTGCAAAATGAAGGCCACTTTGATAATACTGTAATATAAAAAAAGCTCTCCCATACACTTGTGCACACAAGTCTAATGAGTTAGATTTATAATTCATCAAAGCCTCCTTAGAATTACTTCAAATTTAAAATTCTGTTCAGAAAGATAGGTTCCTAACAAACATGAGAAACAAAATATTTGGCAGAGCACAAAAAGTAATCAAACAATGTCATGTATTGGCACAAATGCAGATAAGCAGGAGTCAAAAACTTGGACACTTTTTTAAAATTATGAACAACTTGAAATAGAAATGTGCACTAACCAATATGACTCCACTTAACACCGCAATCAGAAGTCAGAAAAATTATATACACAAAGTAAATGCCAATGGGAGTAAAGTCCAAATATCTCAGCATCAAATTCGTAAAAGATATCCATAAGCTGTGCTTGATACCTCTCTAGAATGAAATTTATGCGTCCCATCAGCCAAACTTCACTAAAGCAACAAAATTTTCTTAATCTCATTGTTGTTTAGAGGACAAGTCAAAAATCATATCTAAACAAACATAATTATAAAGTAGAGCACAATTACTAGGTCATACTCTTTAATGCCTTTGTCATTATTAAAAGAATAATCATTAAAATAGAGTTTTTAAAACATAATAATATGAAAAAAATGTCTCCAATTTCTAAAGGATGTTGAAGTTCATTCTTTTGCGAGAACCAAATGAAAGCTAATCCAGTAACAGAACTATTAACTTAAACAAGATTTTCAAATTGCACCATTGATTGGGTCATGATTGATGCTGAAGCAAAAGGACATGATTTCCCATCCAGCATTATTAACCATTTGGCAAACAAAAGCTAGTTTTAATCATTTTTTATGACAGTATCATTAAAGAAAAGTTCACTACTGCACAAAACAATAGATACAAACAACCCCCATCTCTTGAAACAAGTACATATACCATCTATCACTTCATATCTAAAAATAGAAACAGAACATATTGCAACTTTCCTTTTATGGCGCTTTTGGGTCTGTCCCATGTTGCCAAACATATACAAGCTCATCCCATCCAGTGCTTGCCAACAGCCCCACAACCAGCACGCTCATATCCAGCCCAACTGCAAACTCTGTATGGTGATCATACCTCCCAATAAGAGCATCCTCCACCATATAGTCCCACAAAACACACTGTCATATCATATGAACAAGACATGATCAAGTTGCCCCTGGTGGAGAAAATTTCACCTTCCTCACAGCATAGCCATGGCCATTGAGTACAGTCACGGGGACCGGAAACTCCTCACGTCCCACAACTTAATGGACTTATCCACTGAAGCAGTGGCAATGACACAATCATTATATTTGTTCCAATCACAGGAGAGGATTTCAAATTCATGGGCATGGAGGATCATAGTAGAGCCCGGCTCCCGCACGTCCCATATTCTCACAGTGCAATCACCTGAGGCAGAGGCAAAGACGTCTGCATGCCGGGGGTTCCAGACAGCCGAGTAGACACAGTAGGCATGCTCCTTCAGTAAGAAAAGTATAAAAAAAAAAAAAAAAATAGAAACATTTTCTTATCAGAACATATCAGTCGGATTAATGTCAAGATCATAATTTCTGTCGTTAAGAAATGACCAAAACTTTCACGTCACTCGCTCAATGTCGGGGAATCATGGAGCAAAAAGAAATAATAGTTGGTTTTCTAACGAAAAGAAAATAAAAGATTGTGATATCTCTACTTATTTGCGTATTGGGAAAATATGAAAAGAATTATAAGACATCATCACTATTTAACCTTTTATTCATATGTTTATTGTGTAAATTTGGGGATTATATAATTTCAAGGGAATAGCACTTGCATTTCCTCCCTAATCCCTTCAATTTTAGGAGATCCATAATGGTCATAACGGGTTTGAAAATCTATGTAATGAAAAGAAATTAAAAAACTGATTTCTATCTTCTTATTTGCATAATTGGGGAGACATGAAAGGAATCATAGTACAACATCGCTATTTAACCTTTTGCTGATTTGTTTAATGGGGAAATTTTTTAGATTATACTATTTCTATAAAAATAGCAGCTACATTATCTCCCCCGATTCAGAATTGTTTGAAAGGGATTTTAACTTTTCTATTTCTCTAATTCTCTACTCGTTTGAGTGATTTGAAGGGAAAAGAGCTATTTTCTTTTCTTTCTGTCCAAATCACTCAATCCGACCAAGAAAACAAGCCGTTAAACGTCATCGGACCATTGACACGTTGAAGCGAATTGTCGAATACCTTGAAGGTGCGTACGCTGGTGGGTCGATCGACGGTCCAGAGTTTGACGGTGTCGTCCCAGGAGGCGGTGAGAAAGAGTCTCTACGAACGGCGTTATAATCAACAGAGTGGCTTTCGCGAGTGTGCTCGTGGAATGTCGAACGGGTTGGAAGCAGGGGGCAAGGAAAGGTCATAGAGCTTGACCGAGCCGTCGGCGATGGCGGCGACGAGAAGGAGTCGTGAGACTCGGACCAAGCCAGATCGTAGGCGCCGTCGGCTGTGTCGAAGGCAACGATCTCGGAGATGGGTCCGCCGGCCGGGGAGAGATCAAGGACGTGGAGGCGGCCGTTGCCAATAATGCCGATCAGTTCGTGGTGGGGAGGTGGCCCGGCAAGGCGCCGCTCGAAGAAGGGGCTGAACTTCACGGTTAGCCGTTGAAGGGATCCTGAAGACTGGCATGGTTGCGTTCGGAACCGAACTTCGGCTGTGCAGTTGCCGCTGACGAACCTAAAGGTGGCCACTGGTTCCACTACATTTTTATGAAATGTTTTGCTTTTATTTCGTGAAACAAGGGAAATATACAAAACACACCATAACGCCTAAGATGGCGCAAACTTATAATAATAATAATAACAATTTTTTTACTAAAATAGGATTTTAAGTAATTATTTATCAAAATAGGTTGATTTTGATAGTGTTGAAAAATTAGGTATTGGACCTGATTTTCTGAATGCATTATAAACCTTGTCCACGTTGTGTGATCGGCGGTGCTAGGAAGGGAATGGGGCAGTGTCATGGAGATGAACCAAGCATCGGCACACGATCGACCAATGAACACCAATGGCAGGTGGATCGAGGACCACTACCAGGAAGTGCCAACTTAGATGACAGCTCAGACAGGCACACAGCAAGCACGCTAGGCACACGTTTGGGCGTGACTAGGCGCATCGTGCCCTAAAGCATGGCGCATCATAGGCGTGTGCATGGCACGCCTAGCTTGGCAGGGCGTGTCGCACCCAAAGGTGCGTCACATCGTGCAACGCGGCGCCTGGCACCTGCACATTCTGATATTTTTGGAATGCCATTGGTTCCTTCTATAAATAGGTCCTCCCCTCATTTGTATTCATCCAAGTTCAAAGCAATAAAAAGCTTTCTGATACTTTCTCTCTCTAAATTGTCTCTCTTTCTCTCTTTAGAGTTATATAGTGAGTTTTAGAGTTTTGTGAGCAAGTTGTCCTTAGGAAAGCAATCCTAAGGGTTCCTTGAGTGAAAGAGTAAGCTTAGAGTAGGAGTAAACTTGGAGTGTTGTGAGAAGGTTAGACTAAGTCTCAAGGATCGCTAGTGTGCCGCACGTGGGATTTGGGTTGGTTTTGACACTTAAGTGGCCTTAGACTTCTTGACCAACGTGATAAGTGAGTCAGAGCTACATTCTTGTGCTCTTGTGAGTTTCCAACTTCTTTGCCCTCGTGCATTGTTAAGTGAAGACTCTAGTAGTCTTTTTCTTCATAATGGCAAGTGTGGAATCATTTGAGATGGTGCGTGAGGAGGTTCCCGTGGCACCTGAGAGAAGGGGTTGAGACATCTGAAGGGATCATGTCCAGTCCTTAGGAAAAGGGTGGACATGCTCTCCGCCGACCTAGGCGAGGTCAAAGAGGAGATCGTAGAGATCCGTGAGAAGGTGTCCGAGTTCCACGACGGAAGACACAACACTTCGTTTAAATGCCACCAAGACTTGATCCAACGCATTGAGGTCTTGGAGGCGATGGTCGTGGAGGCTAGGGAAGAACGCAACGCTATGAGAAGAAATTGGAGTACACCAAGGTTGAGCTCACATTAGCCTTGGAAGGCCTCGACAAGATAGACGAGATGAGGGCCAAGTTGGAGTTATTGCGAGAGGAGTTGCAAGAAACTCAGAAGAGTGGGGATCATGACACCCAGGTGAGGGAAGAGATAAAGTCCCTCAAGGAAAGGTTGGCAGCCTTAACAATCACAATGGAAGCCAAAGCTGTCGTGATTCAAACGGGATCAAAGGGCAAGGTACCCGATCCTCGCTACTATGGTGGTAAACGAGATCCTGAAAAGGTTGACAATTATCTTTGGTCTTGTGAGTGCTACTTTTAAGGGTCTGGCATCTACTCCGACAAAGAAAGGATAGGTATAGTTTCCCACGTACCAAAATGGTTATGCACTAACTTGGTGGCGACATAAAGCCTTTTTGTAGGGTATTAAAACTTGGGAGGGATTCAAGATGGAGTTCCAGAAGTACTTCACTCCACAGAATGTCGAGGAAAAGCTACAAGAGAAGATCCGCCAATTGAGGCATACTAGAGATTTGCGAAAATATGTCAAAGAGTTGCAAACCTATGGTTACAGCTCTCCAACCTAAAGGACAAGGATGATTATTTCCTCTTCAAGGCCGCCTCAAGCCTTGGGCCAAGACAGAGTTGAATCGTAAGAACGCGAAGATGCTCCAAGGAGCAATGGATGTGGCTGAATCCCTCACTGAGTTTAAGACCTAAGAAAAGGCCGAGACTTCCAAGAAGAATACCCAAACCAAGGGCAAGGGTAACAACCCCAAGTCGAGCCCAAGTAGGGGAGCTCCAACCAAGCCTAAGGCTCCATACAAAGGTAAGCATAAGGGAGATTGACCATCGGTAAAGTGCTAAATCTGTGAAGGGCCTCACTACTTAAAGGAGTGTCCCCAAAGGAGTCAGATGATAGCCATGCAGAAAGATGAGGCTAAGCCTTCAAATAAGGGCAAGGAGAAGGTGGGTGAAGACAGCTGATGACTGGGATCCTTAAGGATCCTGAGCTCTATCCAAAGCCACTCACCTCAAAGGAAAGGTTACTTTTTGCAGAGATTAGAGTCAACAATCAACCAATGAAGGCGCTGGTCGACATTGGAGCATCAGGCTATTTGTAACCTTGGAACAACCAAGGCGGCTAGGTTGACTATGGGAAAGAACAAGGCCTCCTCGAGACTATCAATAAGGAAGAGGTCTCTATTTATGGAGTCGTCAGAAGTACACCCATAACTCAGGGCCAATGGTAAAGAACAGCAGACATAGAGGTCATCCCCATAGATGACTACAATGCAATCTTAGGTATGGAGTTCCTTGATAAACTTATGGCGATCATCCTCCCCTTAGACAGGTTATATATATTGGAGAGCTATGCCCGTGTGTGTTACCATTCTTTCAGGAATCAAGCTAGAGTTACAAAATTCTTTCGACTGTGCAAGTAAATCGAGGAGCAAAGAAAGGGCTTCCAACTTCCTTGGTGATACAAAAGGAGGAAGCCGAGGCCCAAGAAAAGCTAGTGAAGCTACCAACCAGGATTGCAGCAGTATTGGGGAATTTGAGGATATGATGCCCCTTGAGCTACCAAAGGTCCTCCCACCAAAAAAGGAGGTAGACCATCAGATTGAGTTGGTGGAGGGAACCAAACCCCCGGCCATGGCTCCTTATCGTATGGCACTGCCAAAGTTGAAAGAGCTACGAAAGTAACTCACTAAATTGTAGGAGGCAGGATTCATTCGACCATCCAAAAGCCTTTTGTAGCACCAGTCCTTTTCCAAAAGAAGCACTATGTCTTCTTTGCGTATAGGTGTTGACTACAGGGCCTTCAATAAGCTCACAATCAATAACAAGTATCCTATCTCTCTCATCATGGACTTATTTGATCAGTTAAATGAAGCCCGATGGTTTTCCAAACTGGACTTAAGGAGTGGTTACTGCAAGTCCGCATTGTTCCAGGGGAGAGCACAAGACGACCTACACAACAAGTATGGGGCATTTGAGTTTCTTGTAATGCCTTTTGGACTTACCAATGCCTCGGCCATGTTTTTTGCACGCTCATGAACAAGGTACTACAACACTACTTGGACAAGTTCGTGGTCGTGTACCTTGATGATATTGTCATATACAACAAAACCCTAGAGAATCATGCTCGACATATGAGGGAGGTGTTCCTCACTTTAAGGGAACACCAGCTCTTGTCAAGAGGGAGAACTGCTTGTTCGTCCAAGAGGAGATACCCTTCCTTGCCATATTGTTGGGAGGGACAAGATCAGGATGGATGAAGCTAAGGTGAAAGCCATTGCCAAATGGCAGCCTCCAAGAAAGGTGCCCGAATTAATATCATTTCTAGGGCTGGCAAACTATTACAGGAGGTTTATTGAGGGGTACTCTAAGATTACTTCTCCCTTCATGGACCTACTCAAAAAGGACTGCCCATGCCAAAGGGCCTTTAATGAACTAAAGCCAAGATGGTGAAGCAATCAGTATTGGCCCTACCAGACTTTGCCCTACCATATGTGTTGGAGATAGATGCCTCAGACTTTGCCATCAAGGGAGTCCTCATGCAAAATGGACACCCCATTGCTTTTGAAAGCAAGAAGCTTAGTGAGGTAGAAAGGAGGAACACCGTTTAGGAAAAGGAGATGACAGCGGTGGTGCATTGTCTCTAGACATGGAGACACTATCTCCTAGGCACCCTTTTCATAGTTCGGATAGACAACGTTGCCACAAGTTATTTCCAAACCTAGAAGAAACTCATGCTAAAGCAAGCAAGGGTGGCAAGACTTCTTGGCGGAGTTTGATTATCATATGGAGTACAAGCTAGGGAAAAGCAATTTAGTGGTGACGCTCTAAGTCGAAAGGTCACAATGGCTGTTGTGGGCCAAGTGGAAGGCTGACAAATATGAGATGGGCTTAAACGAGACCCAATGGCAAAAAGGTTGATGGAATACATTGCTATGGGGAACAACCGAAAGTTTTGGATGGAGGGTGCATTAATCTACACCGCAGGGAGGAGACTCTATGTTCCTTCAGTGGGGAATCTAAGGAAAGAGATATTAAAGGAGTGCCATGACTCCAAATGGGCCAGACGTCTAGGTATTCAAAGAACTTTAGTCTTGGTGGAGGACAAATACTATTGACCATGTATGGAGAATGATGTGGAAGCCTATATGAAGACATGCCTTGTTTGCCAACAAGACAAAGTTGAGACAAGGCTGAGTGGGACTTCTTCAGCCTTTACTTATACTAGAGCGACCATGGGAATCTATTTCCATGGACTTCATAGTAGGGCTTCCTAAATCCAAAGGATTTCGCACTATCTTTGTGGTGGTGGACTATTTGATGAAATATGCTATCTTCATACTCGCCACAAAGGAGTGTCCCGCAGAAGAAGAAGCAGCAAGGCTTTTGTTGAAGAACGTGGTCAAATACTGGGGGTTACTAAGGACTATCATCAGTGATCGAGACGGGAGATTCACATGCAAGTTCTGGACAAAGCTACTTGGATCAGAATTGAGGATGTCCACAAGTCTCCATCCACAAACTGATGGCCAAACAGAAAGGATTAATGCATTGCTGGAGATCTATCTGAGGCACTATGTGAGTGCCACCCAAAGCAACCGGGCTAAACTGTTGGATGTTGCCCAATTTTCTTACAATCTACAAAGGGATGAAGCCACGGGGAAGAGCCCATTTGAGCTTGTGTATAGACAACAACCATTGAACCCAACAGTAGTTGTTTTGGGCTATCAAAGGAGTAGTCTTGCTGCCTATAGGATTGTAAGGACTTGACAAGAGGAGACCAAGATCACAAAGGCGTGCTTAATAAAGGCACAAAGGAAGATGAAGAAATGGGCGGACAAGATGAGAAGGGATGTGGAATTCAAAGTCGGAGACTTGGTTCTTTTCAAACTCCATCAAGTCATCCATTATCCCAAGCTCCACAAAAGCCTTGTGAGGAGCTACGAAGGCCCCTTTTGAATCATTAAGAGGATAGGTCTTGCTGCCTACAAATTGGAGCTACCACTCTGAGTCAAGCTTTATCTAGTCTTCCATGTAGGGATGCTTAAGCTATACCAAAACAATGACCAAGACCCAAGTAGAGGAGAGTCCCATAGGCTGCCTATCTATCGGATCAAGGCGACATAT